GCCCTTCCAGCTCTGGAATCATCACTGCAGAAATGCAGCTCCTGAACACAGGCCCGAGATGCCACTCTCTGCACAACTGTTGCCAACACAGCTGTGGACCAGTGCTATTGCAACCTCTCAGTGCTATTCACCACCTCTCACACTATGTAGACTCATAGATAAAGCCAAGCCAAGTTGCTGTCAGCTTCTTGGAGCAGCAGCAAAGTTAAAGGTAACATTTAGAGGTGTGAGTGTTAAAACAGACTTCCAAGTTTTTCCACTCACTCCACACTGACACCCCCTCCTGCAGCGCTGGACAAAGACAAACTTCTTAGCATCAAGAACAAGGCAGCTGGAGCTATAGGGGTAAAGAATACCCCTGAAGTCTGAACCATCAGCTTTGTGGGTGCCTCCAGAGCAACCCCACAGCATGAGTGCACCACTCCGCTGTATTTGAGCTGTGCTACCCTGGGGTCTTACTCCTCCAGGAATGATGATGCCCAACCAGCCAGAGAAAGAATGTGTTCTGTAACTTCTACCTTAGTGGGTTCAGCTACACACCACTCAGGAGCACTGTAAGTCACAGTCCTCCTGCCTGTGCCTCTTCCAGTACAGAAAACAGCTCAAGTTGCTGGGCTATAATCACAGAATGGTTTGGGTTGGAAAGGACATTAAGATCATCCAGTTCCAAGCCCCTGCCAAGTCACTCAAGGCTCTGTCCAGCCTGGCTTTGAACACTGCCACGGATTGATCATCTACCTTTAGCCTCATGCCTTCCCTGATCAGCTTATGGATAACACTTAATGAAGCTGTTTATTTTTCAGGGAGAAGCCAAATCTGTGTGTGTATAAAACAAGCAAAGGAGGAGTCAAAACATCAAAAGCTCATTTCCAAAGCTGCAGCCACTTGAAAGGCCGACAGTAACAAAGGGCAGCTCTGCGAGGCTTCAGCCCACAGCAAAAGGTGAGGCACTGCTTTAAAGCTTCATTACAGATTGAGCCAAGCTGAACTCTCTCACACAGGTTCCAGGTTGGAGCTGGACATGGATACAAGAGGCCACCTGCCCTGTCCTGGCTGAGACACGTACCTGAGCCCTGAGGCAGCCCTGGAAAGCTCAGGGACAGGCAGCTGGACTTGCTGCTGCTCTTTGGCTACCACCAACCTCCCACCTGGGGGATAAAGAAGTAGCTCATGCAAATGGGAGTTAGTTTTTCCCCTCGAGTGATTTCAGGTCTATCATTTATGGTACATGACATTTGGACAAATGCTCAACACCTATAGATAAAATAAACCATCCCCAGAACAGTGGAATTGTTCCCCAGGTTCCCCCCAGGCTGTGCCACCCTCCAGCCTCCTACTCAGGGTAGTCCGCATGGAGAAGTAAGGGCTGAAGCCACTGACTGCAGTCCTTACCCTGGGTAGTCCGAGCAAAGAGCAGACACTCACTCCCATACATCTGTTCTTCTGAGGGTTTTGTCATCATGGTTATTAAGTCAAAGTTGGTTAATTTTGGCTCTAAACCCTTCCCTACTCAAAGTGGGACAAGTCTCAGAACAAGACGATTTAGCCACCTCCTCAGCTCTGCTGCATTTCATTAGGAAACCTTCACCTCTATGCGCTGCTTCACAGAAGGAACTCCAGAGTCAGCACTTGACAGAAGTATCTCCAGTAACTCCAGAGTCAAGCGCTAATTCTTGGTTGGAAGTATCTTGATGTGCAACTATCCAAACAAAAGAGAGAAAGGCAGCAAACACACATGCACAAGCTCAGCAGGGATGGGTAGGAACAGCCTCTCATGGGGAACTTCATCCTGTGCAACAAGAAAGAATTCCACCCTCAGCAGGATCACAACGGTAACACCCACAGGAACACAAAGGTGAGTTACAGCTTTCACATATACAACATTCCTTTTGGAAAAGTAACTTTAATATTGCAAAACACTGGGAGAGAGGGGCTTTTGTCTGCTTCATACACATGTTCAGGATGAGCTTGATTCCCACAAGGACCCTGGTCACAGTTCCTGAAACCCGGCAGTTAAAATACCTCTCATTGGAAGACAGACATAATCCTCCCCCTTTTTTTGTCCCCCTTCCTCCTCATTCACCCATTGTGACAGGATTGAGCTCTGCTCACACACGCATCCACAGCTGCAAAAAGAGGAGTTATTAAATTGCTATTAGCCATTAAAACAGGTCACTTCCCTCCTCCAAGAAAGCTGCATGCTGCTGCGTGACAGAGGATGAAATTCCACCTCTCATCACTCATGGTTTCATTGGTTTTATCCCAGTTTAATAGATGATTTATCAGCTTTGTGCAAGACAGTTACCTCTAGCACAAAAGGGTAAAATAAAATCACAGCAACATATACACACAAAACAAGATACACAAAATAGAGCTGAATTTATATACAGGTTATTAGCAGCTAAACTCTTAACTTCATTTAGTACATGGCTTTACTTACTACAGTTTTAGGCACAGAGAAGAATTTACCAGTAGGATATTTGCTATAAGGAAGGGCCACAATGAATACCTTGCTCCAAGTCCTCATTGGGCAGAAATGGGTTTACCTAATGAAGATCTAGTTCTCACTTCCCACCAGTTGAGGACATGGCCCTGCACAAAGGATGGAAAACCATGATCCAGCTAATTCAGACTGCATTAACTTTATACTTTACATATTAAACATTAACTTATAGTTTTTTAAATAGGGTTATGGTACAGAGTTTCTGAACAGGCCTGAATTTCAATACAATTAGTGTCAGGGTTGGTTTGGGGGTGTTCTCCCCCCCACACTGTTTGCTTAGCATGGACTCTCAGCTGTTAACAACTCAAAGAAGAGCTGGCAAGAAATGATATAGATGTGGAGATTGCTTTGTACACATTTCACATTCATAATGAAGAAATTTGCTGTAACAGGATTTAAAAGCACAAAAGTGATGAAACATTTAAATTTCCTTAGCAGGTTATGTTAATAAATTATGATGCAGCAGCCACTCCATTCCAGGCTGCACTGAATTAGGTGCCTGGGTGTATTTTATGTGCTCCCTTGTCTTTCTGATTTAGGACTATGGAATCAGAGGCCAGCAAGATAAGTATGTGCTGTACTCACAGCGTACCAGCAGCCTTTTGTTTCAGCAGCACTTCTCACGTTGGATTATGCATGCACAAGTGCTCTGCCAGGCTGAGGAATGGCCACATACTTTAATTACTGATTGCTTAGCTATAGTAAGCCTTTCTCAATGCAGAACATGATCACCTACCCAGTGAAAAGGCTGAAAAGAGTAAGTACATAACAGAACCAGGCAGATACCATAACACAATTAAAAACTGAAGCAGCGAGCAGATAATCCAAGTAAAATAAACCCCCCCAAAACCCCTTTAACTTATGAGGCAGGTTGAGAATGACACCGAGTTTTCCTTCACGACAGCTTTGCTCACAAATACAGCTCAGCAAGTCTGAAATACTTTATCAGAAGAACTACAAACGTGTTTATCACAGTTACGTCAGAGCTCCTGGCTGAAGGGTGTGCCGGTTTCTGGTATAGCCACTCCCCTACTCTTCTCCAAGGTTTACTACTCAGCTACTCAGGAAAGAAGAGGGGGTTGCTTCAGGCTTTAGAAAGTGCAGAGAGTGAGTTTTTCCCTTTAGAAACCAACCAAACCACTGAGAACTCTTCAACATGGACGAATACTACGAAGTTTAGAGGGTCTGGAGTTTGGCATTTGGTTTTTAAATGGCTATTCTGGATGTTTTCAGGTGTACAAAAAGGGAAGGGAGTTTAATGTAGAAGAACAACTTTACCATATTAAAAAAAACTCCATCAAACCAACACAAAAGTCTGTTCCTGGGACCATCTTTAAAAGCAGTTCTATTGAACACACACAAAATAACACCAACTTGGACCGTGAGTGCTGTGCTCTTAACATACAGCTCTCCTGGAACTCCACTTAGCCTGAAAGAATTTTGGCTGTAACTTCTGTTATGCATTGGCAGGGCAGAAGCAAATAAGGCTGTGAACAGAGGGTTATTACTGCTGTCAAACTACAGGAAGATCAAATGACACGTTTTAGAAGTAACAGAACTTACAACTACTCCGTGTAGTAGAGCTGCTGTTCAGAAAGTAACAGTTTCTTTATGGGAACCCAAAAAGGTAAAGACTTTTGACATAAGGTTCTCCCTTTGGTACAAAGTTAACTTGTTCCTATGGCTGCTCTGCAGTAGGATCATCACCGGGAAGGAACAGTTGGGGTCACAGATTGTCAGGAGACTCTTTGGCCATCAGTGCGAGAACCGGTGCATGGTGCATATCCTTGAGGCTTATCTGCTGCCTTTCACTGGACACGTAGGTTGCCAGAGCGTGACCAAGAAGCAGGTGGCTGGGAGGAAGGGCAGGACTTCAAGTGCAGAGCAGAGGGATGCAGCCCCCTGCTCAGAGCTTGGGCTGCTCTGTCGAGGAGAAGGTCAAAACGGAACCACCCTCTGCACAGTCTTGAGTCAAGCGGGCACAAGGGAGCAGGAGACTCCACTGCTGGCAGGGAAGGAAGCCAAGCCAGATAACACAGGCTACAGTCACTTCAGCTTTGACATTATCTCAAGCTCCCACAGCCATGCACACACGTGTGGGTGAGACAAGCAGAGCGCTCTGTTTTGGCTGCAGAAAGAGCAGAAGGGTTCGCCATTTGGTTTGCTATGTACAACAATACTGCACTGTACACTCCACTAACACCCTGCTCTCTGCTACAGCATTAAATACAATTCCTCTTAGTCACAAAGAGCAAGAGATGAGTATCTCTGTAGGAAGGAGAGCTGAAACCCACTGCTGTAGATGACTATACGTGCTGCTAGTCCTTCTGCGGTAAGCACAAGTGGTCATTCCACAGTGTCTATAGTACCCCCTTAGGCTGCCCGAGGCAGAGAACTTCCCCTTCCTTATTCCAGTCTGATCCCAGTCCTGTTGGGACTTCTCTAGCACAAAGCCATGCCATGACTTTCCCTTGTTGCCACAACATTCCCATTGGAATTACGCAGTCTCTTTCAGCAGTCCCAGTTTCCGAAGTGCCTCTCTCCTCGCTTCTTCTGTTGAGCCACGGCCGGAAAACTTCACCGTTATCCCTTGGGATCGAAATCCTGACGGTCTAGGCAGCGAACCCGATCTCCTCCTCATATCCAGGTTTAGAGTAGGCTGTTTATAATCATTAAAGCTTTTTGCTGTGTTCTGCTGCGTGCTGCTGACCTTGTTAGCAGCAAGAGCTACCTCTGGTTTGATTGTTACAGTTTTGCCCATAGGAAGGAAAGGGCTGGGCTCGCTTTTTAAGACCTCATGGATGTTTTGATATCCATTGGGAACAGCGTCTGCCTGTTTGGGCTGTACATCAAGCTGCTGAGTGCTTGGGGCATGGTCCACTTGGTCCTGAGCTGTCTTTCCCTTAACGAGGCCAAGTTTTGTCAGGGCCTCGTATCGTGTTTGCTCAGAGGAGAGATCCCTTAAGGAAGAACTTCTGTTACGTGACAAGAAATCACTCTTCTGCAGCTTCTCCTCCAGTTCTGCTGCCAGAAAAGCTCCTCCATTGATGTTGGCCAGCACCTGAGCTCTCCGCTCCTGGACGTTAACTGCTGCTTTGGAAATAGTCTCATTGAATTCTTTGCCACTGACATTTGTTATGTTGATGTTGCTGGGGAACCGGTGCAGTTTGGGTGCAGGTGCAGGAGGGTGCTTTGGAGCCACAGAATAATCACCGTTGGCTACTGGCGTTTTCTTCCTGTCCGAATTCCCTTCCTTGAGGGCGCTGGGGAAGCGTGCCCTGTTCTCCGCCTGCTGCTCGGACATCTTCTGGGCCATGATGAGGGGAGTGGGGATGGAACGAAGCAGTTTGGGGTGCTGCACCGGAGGAGGCGGTGGAGGAGGAAGAGGAAGTGTCTCAGACATCAGTGGTGCTGGTGCAGGGGGATGTGGGGGAAGGTCTGCAGGTACAGCTGGCTTCGGGCTCTCGCTTCTCCTGGTAGCATCCAACACTTAAAAGACAAAGCAACAACTTCATTAAGTCCTCACACAGAGCAGAATACAAGGCTTGCTTTCACCCGGGATCAGCAAGCATCAGTATTCCCCTCCCCAAACTTCCCAACTCAAACTCAGCCCACATTGCCAGAAGAAACTCTAACTGAACTCGCAGCAATGGCATCTCGTAGGCGTCACTGTAGCTCACATCACCCTATTTACAATGCGTTCACTAGAAGCTCTTTCTGCCACTCATTCACAAAACTGTGTTTCAGGGGCTGCCTTCTGTAAGAGTTTTGCAATTCTCATTTTCTAATACACACATTCCATCCCTCTGGATGTACCAGCTGATAAAGCCACGCTCCAGAAACAGAGAGAGAGAAGTCTCCAGGGTGAAGACCATGACACTATCTTGTCACCAACTTACCGTGATAGGATCATGTGCCTTTTTCACACAAAGCAACACTACAATCTGCTGTGTTAAAACTTAGAGAAGGTCTTAAAAGGTCTTAAAGAGAAGCAGAGCATGAACACATTGATGAGTACCAGTCTGCCTTGCTGCAATGACTCTGCATAATCCTGAGTTCTGTTACAGCTCAGTCACCAGGCAGGGGCCGAGGTGGCACTCCAACAACTTAATCATAACTCGTGACCTCCACGAGGGGAGGAAAAAACATTATATAACAACGAGAATTTCAGGAATCCCAAGTCAAATTAAAATCCTGACTGCTCCTGATGTGCCACAGCTTCATCTGGAGGTAGTAAGGAAGGTACAGAACTTCTTTAGCTGTTCTAATGAGAACTGGAATATGCCAGGGCTGGGTCAAAGGGAAAACCCACACTTTTAAGCAATACTACTACCTGGTTCCGCATCTCTGCTAGGAGGGCCTTCATGGTCACTGCTCTCAGGTGTGGACTGTACTAAGTCAATGATATCTTCAGTCTCTGAATGGCTGGACACGGTTTCTTCTGTTGATCGTGGAGACTGAGAGTGGATGCCACTGTCACGTAGGACCGGCTCCTCTAAGTCATCTTCTAAGGCATCTATGGTTTCCTCAAAGAACATGAGGACATCCTGCTCTTCATGAGTTAAGTACTTCAGACTCTCATCATCCTATGGGGAAAACAGAAAAAAAGCCAGAAAGATTAACACCCTACATGTGAGAGCAGACAAAAGTCCACTGACAGCAAACACAGCGCCCCTTTCTGAAGGCAGAAAGAGGCAGGATGACCAGGCAGCAGGCACACCAGAAACAACTCTGGCTTGCTGTTTCATCCTTGCCCAGAGGCACTCTGCCACTACAATGGCAGGAGAAAAGAGCAGAATACAGGAGTTTACAGGGCATTAATTGTGACTGAAGAACAGCAACTGGTATTTCACCCTTTAAAGTATCTAACTAAAGTATTTAACTTTAAAGTTCAGCAAACAAGTGTCTGTTTGAGTTGGACAGAACAAATTGCTAAAAGATCATAAAAGCAGAGGGGAAAAAACCCAATGGGCAATAAACCCCCTACATCTGTGCTTTTACAAGGGTTAAGATAGTTTCTTCAGGCTCCAAACTGGAGCAAGCTGCTTCAGCTGCTGTGTCAGGTTCAGGGACAAGGCCTGGGGGGCAGCACAGGAGCGAAAAAGTAGATTTGGTACAGTCCAACAAATAAGCTGACTCCTTTTTTGCTCCAGACCAAATGGGATGTGGCTTCTAGAGGCAGATTTCAAAGAAGTAATAATAAGGAAGAGATGGTGCCTAAAGATTTTACCTTTGAGTTACAGAAAGGAAGAACTTAGAATAAATACTGCTAGGGAGCACATCTTCATGCAGTGCCTTGGGCTATTTTCTCCAGCAGGAAACAATCCTGTAGACCACAGAAGTGATAAATAACCACTTGGGTTACCCAGTCGTCATTTTCTATGAGTCACTGCTCTTGATTAACTTGATTAACACATTATCACCATGAGAAACTAGGCAGCAATGCACAAACTATTTCCCC